ACTAGGATTACAGGCGTGAGCCACCGGCGCCTGGTCTGTGAAACTTCTTGACCTTATTTTGTAAGCTAGCTACTGGCTGTTATCCAGTAATTACCTGAGTATAAACAAAAAGGAAATCCAGGACTCTTCTGCATCTTTCACTGACGTGGTCTTGGTAAACAGTGGGTTTTTGTTTTTGTTTTTTTAGCAACAAGTGGAAAGTTGAGAGCTTCGATGCTCCCCTTGGGTCTTCAGCTTTCTAATCCAAGCTCATGCAATTCAAGGTTTTCACCCACTTTGTGATAGTTTTTATTGAATGTTTTGAGTATCAGGCTAGAATTACAAATGCAGTTTAGTAAATGGAAAGAGATTGGAGCATTTCTCAAATATGAGGGGGGGAAATATCTTTAGATAGCACAGGTTTCAGATCATGGTCTGAGCTTTTGAGGGAATGTTGAAGGCATTTGGTGTCACTGTACAGAGCGTTGGCACTGCAGCTGGGAACCCCTTACTCTGCCTGGCAGATGGAGGCAAGTTGTGCCAATTTGCTAAGCTTCCATTTCCTTCTTTAAGTTGGGAATGTTACATCTAACGTAAAAATCTTTATGTATGTGGATTGGCACGTTGGAAGCACATTGTAAATGCTCCTTTTGCGGTCGTCAGTGTGTGTGTGTGTGTGTGTGTGTGGAGGAATGTTTTAGGGATAAATTGTTTCAGGACCCTCAGCAGTCTCCAACTCTGACTTCTTAGACGCCCCGGTGCATGAAGAGAGAGGAGATAAAATCCCCACAGTCCTGAATAGAGAGGCACAGGCCATTTGTCACCTGGTGCCACAGGGGTGCAGGTGGTCTGTCTGCAAAGTCATTCTCTCCCAAACTTTGTAATCATTCAGTGAATAGGTATTAGTGCTCAAAGCAATATTCAAAGACCTCCGCCAACTGTCAACCCTTTAGGGAGGGAATTAAAATCATCTTTTTTGAGGGGAGGTGGTGCTAGTCCTTGGGCTTAATCTTAGGACCGTGGCACTGTCCTGAGCTTTTTTGCTTAAGGCTAGCTGTCTACTACTTGAGTCACAGCTCCACTTCCAGCTCTTTTTTTTTTTTTCCTTACCTAGAGATAAGTGTCTCACAGACTTTCCTTCCCAGACTGGCTTCAAACTGAAATCCTCAGATCTCAGCCTCCTGAGTAGCTAGAATTACAGGCGGTAAGCCACCTATGATTATCTTGATCTTGCAAATGAGGAAATAGAGATTCAGAGACATTGAAGTCTCATAGGAAGAGATAGGTGGATGGAACTTTAACCTAGAGTTTGGGGCCATCAGTTAGGGAGCCCTCTACTGGTCACTTACTGCCTCTGCCATTTTCTTTAAGCCTATTGTCCTCTGAACTCTCATTGATATCCATACAGAGATATGAGTTCCAGAAAGACCTGGGGAAGTCCAGGAGGCATCTGGATAGCATGTACACTTGGGGGAATGAAGGGAGACACAGAAGAAATGATACTTAAAGGTGAGTGAGAAGGAACCTATGAACTATAAACAATCTCTTCCTATCTTCCCCCTTCCCCGTGAGGGCGGGGAAGGAGGTAGGGTAGCTGACAACAAAACCCCTTTCCATTGCAGTTTGCGTGTCAAAATTCGGAAAAGATTTGAGTGCAAGAGCATTTTAAAGCTTGAGAGGTTCACATTTTTATGTCGAGGCTGTTGGTGCTCAGTTGAGTCAAACACCAGGGTAAAGTTACTGTGAAAGTATGTTGTACACATGATGAACAGCTACAGTTAGTTACACTTTACATCAAGGTTACCCTCCATAATGTGGCTAGGCCTCATCTAATCAGTTGAAGGCCTTTAAAATATACACTTTTTTTTTAACGGAGGTATCCCACAGAAGGAAATCTTCAGCCTCGAGTGTCACATAGCAATCCTGCCTAAGTTTCCAGTGTGCTCATTTGCCAGTGTTAGTCGGCTTTCTGTCCTTGCAACAAAATACCTGAGTTAATTCACCGATACAAAGAAAATGCCAAAAAAAAAAAAAGAAATTATCCCTTTGACTCACAGAATCGAGTTCATCATTGATTGTTCCCATGTCTGCAGGTCAGGCAGTGAGTATCTGGTAGGAACATAGCAGAGCAAAATTACTCACCAAATGGCCAGGAAGCCAAAAAGAAGCAGAGGAAGTAACTGTAATTCAAAGTCAGGCCTCCAGTAATCTGAAGACCTCATACTA